TTTTATTTCTCTGGGTCTCTTCAAAGTGAAATTATTTGAATATTTGGCTATACAAAAGAACAAAAAAAATTCTAAAGTGAAATTATTAGGGATATTTTAGACATTTGTGCCGCCCAAACCAAAGTTCGACCTTGGTTAACGGTTTTTGGATGAAAATTTAAACAAAAGGGCATGTTTGATCATTTTTACATAGTACAGAGGCATGTTTGATATAAAAAATAGTAAAAGGGCATGTTTGATAAAACGTCATAATAGAGGGGCATATTATACCTATAACCCTAATTGTAATTGTATCAAAACGAATCAATTGAAATCCCCCAGATATAATTGTTGTATCTAAAATTTGTGCTGCAAAATGGATCAATTTGGCCAAATGATTTCAAAACGAAAGAATTGAGTTAAATTGATCAATTAGAATTTCTCATCAACGACTTGCTGCTTTATGTGGGTGTTGGGAAGGGGGGAAATCTACCGAGGTTGACAATGGTGTAAAAAATCCAAGAATGAGTCTCTATGTCGAATTTTTTTCCAGAAATAGAACCATTAGAAAAATAATTAAAAAATAGCACCCAGCTCACACAAATTCCAAAAATAGCACCATTTTTAAAAAATCACAGCTTGAGACTGATGGATTCACACACACCGCATTACGTCAATGGGCAGATGGGTTAGGATAGCGATATCCTTTTGTGTGATGATGCACTCTCCTTCTGCGAAAGTTGAAGCAATGTGTCTCTTTTCGCCATCTCTCGACCAATGCGGTGATGAGTCGACGGTCGATTTTTATACCTGAAAATGCCTAATCGACTCCAACCGTGTCTTTTTGAGAAAGGGCAAGATAACGCCGTTCCATGGGAGCACATTGGTCGTACCCCTGTAGCGAATTATTTGGTGTGCCTCCTAGCAAAAAGTTTAACGTTTACCATACGTTTATGATATACTAGTATTAAGGTTTTTATGAATAAATAAATTAAAATAAATGATTTAACTTTCACCATATTTTTATTAAAAATCTATATAACAAACAATTTAAAATAATTCAAGGTTGTTTCCAAGATATATACATAATTTCATAAAACAAACATACTCAATTAATTAAATAAATAACAATTTAAATGAATAATAATTTAAACAGATACATATTCGAATATTTTAAATTAATTTTGTACACATACACATAAATCCATGACATTATTGTGTAAATCGTATTGGTTGTTTTAAATAATTTAATCGAATACAATGCAATATTTGTTAGACTCTTAGAAGAGGTATACATTTTCTTAGAAATGCGATATTTTTTTTTACAGAAAAAGGGGGGATCCGAGGATCGCTTAAAACTCAATTTTCCCAGGGAATGGGAGGATCATGATAATCGCTTAAAATCTCATTTCTTTAGGCATGCATCTCTTTATAAAGAGTCTAAGTAAGTGGTGTTATGTATTCAATTAAATTATTGAAAACAACCATTCAACCAATACAAGATTAAAAATGATTAAATTTTTATTTCCACTAAGTACGTTAACAAAATAAAAGAATGACAAATGATGAAGAATAGGGGTGGGCAACGGGTACCCAGTCCCATTTGGAGAGCAATCTCCATCCCATGTCCCAAACCCGTACGGGTTAACGAGTACCCATTACCCATACAGGACGGATAACGGGTACCCATACTACCCGTTATATGTACATCTTTGTTGCTTAGACTTTCTCTTTCGCTTTAGATTTCGATGTCTGCTCTGTATTCATCATGCAATGCAGCTGCATGGTTCACTTACCTGGAAGGCTTATCGAAATTGGTGTTCACCTTCAGTTGCTACGTACGACATGGTTCAATTAAAAAAAAAATCTACATTAACTTGTTTTTATTCTTGAAACTTACGTAAATGTTTATTTGCTCAAATTACATAAAGCATGAGCAGAAGCACTTACGTTTCACTTGGGTACAGAGACGGAATGGTGAAAGAATTTTCGATTAGTATTAGTTGAAGAACTCACCATCGGGAACTTAATTTTGGACTATTGGGTATAACGGGTATCCCGCGGGTACCCAAAGTAGCGATTGTTGATCCCAAGTCCCCTCCCGTTAAAAAAATTACGGGTATTTGGGTACCCTTAACCCTCAAAAAACGGGACGGTACGAGTATACCGAAATACCCGTTTCCCGTTGCCCACCTCTAATGAAGAATTGTATGTACATCGTGATCGTTCCAAACATCCACTGAACGATGGTGGGTTGGTCATACGACACGGTTGGATCACTAGTCCTTGATCAACATAACATCGTTGGTTGCATATATCTACATCGTCCCCAACCTACGAGAGAATGACAACAAGGTTAGTACATAGATTAATTAAACAGGTTATAAGAACAACAAAAATTGGTAAATGAGTACGTACCGCTTGAATTCATCATAATAAAATCCCTTTTCTTGGAACCACTCGTCCATTTTTTCGCGAAAGTCACAGAGATTCAATGGGTTTTGAAAGAAAAACCAAAGAAATGTTTTCTGATGGCAGATCGGACTTAGCTGCAACCAACAGACCACTATTCCTAAGCTTTTTGAGGGAGGGGATGGATAGAGAGGTAATTTTAGAGAGAGAAGAATGGGTTGTGGTGTGAATAAATGGAGAGGGGGTAGGGGTTTTTATAGCACTCAGACCGCACCGTATAGGGGCGGTTTAGTAATTTCACCCTCACCAAAACCGCATCTCAAGGGCGCGGTTCACGCAACCCAAGGAGCAAACTGTTCCCCTTACGCAGTTCTGGATCCCTGACGCGGATCGCAGTGCTAGCGCGCGATCGACCTTTCCATCGCCGCATAATCCAACGGGCCTTGGGACCGCGTGCGTGTTGACCGCATTTTCCCCACGCGGTTTTTGGGCTGCCCTATCAAGAACCGCATCGTACCCATGCGGTTTCCTTGTAAACTGGCGCTCTGTCGTGCGAGTTTTAAAATTTTTTGCTATTTTTGGAATTTGTGTGGGTGGGTGCTATTTTTGTAATTTTTTTAAAATGGTGCTATTTTTGGAAAAAAACCCCTCTATGTCGCCAAAGTAGGGAAACATATCAACCTCTGTTACAGGTGAGCTCTGATGAACTAATTTGATTTGCATGCACCGTAGGGGTGGGCATTCGGTCGGTTCGATTTTGACCGAACCAAAATTATGAATACTGGGTCCCCGAATTCTCCCAAATCTCAAACTGAATTCGAAACCGAATTATAATTCGGTTCGGTCAGTTTAAACAGAATTATAGTTTGGTTCTGTTCGGTTTTGCATACAAAATCGAATTTGAGAGGCTACTTGTATCTTCTCAATTTTACATTATTTTTCACCCCTAATATAAACAATAAATATGCAATTATATGCATCATCAATGATAAAATCAAACTTTTCAACAAATAAGTCATAAATATTTCAAATATTTAAGTATAAAAACAACTACAAACATAAAAAAATCACCATTTAGAGCTTCCAATTATAGTATTTCGGTTTTTCGATCGGAATTTCAGAATTTCGGTTCGGTTGAAAGAACCTTTGTTTCCGAAATATCCATATTTTTCTTCCGAATTCCGAACGAATAGCATTATTTCGATTTCGGTTCGGTTCGGGTTTACCGCACCGATTGCCCCCCCTAATGGACCGGTTGGTTTCACTTTGCTTAGTTTGGTGTGAATAGTGTAGAAAATATGTTGATATTGATTTTATTAGATTGGTAAATTTATAGACAAGGTTTGTTCACAAAAATATTCCAAAAACTAATGTTTAGTAGGAGTAAAAAAGGTGTATGGATCATTGGATCAAACAATCCAATATACCGTAGCCAAGTTCGATATGAATATAGATAAAGCTAGAATTAATTAGACTAGAGCAATAAAGTGTTAAACAATCGAACTGCATAAAGAAAAGTAGAGCACACAATTTAACGTGGTTCAGTCTCTTAGAGAAACTTTACTCCATGTTGATTAGCTTGGTGTTCTGTCTTATTCAATTCACCTGCTATAAACTCTAATTAAGGGATATATTGTCGGCCATGCACAAGGCCTAACCACAAGGCGTGTGCATCTAATCATCGTCTAGTCCTCACAATATAACATATATACAATTCGGTCCCTTGACATAACGTAACTATATGTATAATATACCTTTCAATATATTCAATACCCCGTCAAACTGATGGTGCTTGGCGTAACATCAATTTTTGTGACAGAAACCTAACCAATGCCGACTCATGGAGAATGCTTTAGTAAGAAGATCTGCTGGTTACTTGTCTGTCGTAAGATACTGCAACTGAAGCCATCCATATGATACTAATCGACGAATGTAATGAATATGTAGAGCTCAACTATTCACCTCCAAACAGACCAATTGTCATCCCTTAAAAACCCAATGCACTTATGCACAGGAAGAAGGTGTAGGTATACATTATACCCATGTATAGTTTGTCCTGAGTGTGGTAGGTCTAAACTTTTATATAACGGGTTGTAATAGGTTCATATTGATTGTACTTGAGTCATGTACTCTTGATCGTATTTAATAAAAATAAAACCTACTCTTGATTAAAGAACGATACGAATCCAATCAAAATTGTCATTCACTACCTAATGATTTCGATGATAAACATACAAATTTTCTTATTCTTACTATACAACAAAATTTTGCTGGATAGGATTTAGATATATTATGTAATGTTATCAGTGATCACTTATCGGATGTTGTTAATTGTGACTTACGTGGTGCAGGTCCCTATCCCTGTCCCTGTCTCTAATTTTGATTTCTAATTAGGGAAGACGGAAGACCTGAGCGTCACTGTCAGCAAGGAGGTGGAAATTGTTAAATTCAGATTAATCATGAAAAAAACCCCTTATTAATTCGAGATACCAAAATCAATTAAATACTAGCTACGTAAATTATGTGGACATAATTATCAATCATTATTGGATTATTATAGAGTAAATATAAATAACTCCTTCACTGCCTTACTCCATCACTCTCACGGAACGGAACTAGCCCGCCAGCAGGCAGCTACAAACCCACACACACCGACCCGTATCTCTGTCTCTCTTCTCCTTCTTCCTTCAACCTTGTTCTGCTGAATCTCCAGAGAGGGGAAAGCTTTTGCCTTCTTCTCGTCCTCCCAAGATTCAAGATCCACTTTTTTCTCGGAAACCAATCGCGAGCCAACCAAAACAATCACCGGAAAAGGGACAAATTCCCTTTTCAATTCTCTAATTCTCCTCGAGGAGCTCCTCCTCGCCTCTCGAATACGTTTTGAGGTACCGTGAATTGTTCGCACTTTCTATCTCTCTCGCAATCGGATTTTCTTGGCTTGTTGATTGCTGCTTTCCCCTGTTTTCAACGCGTTCCTTTCGGCGGTTCGATGCCAATGCGAGCTACGCCCGTAGGTAGTTCGCAGTCGGAGAGGGATTTCTTCCCTTTCGGTGCTTAATCTTGTTAACGCTTGCCGTTTTCCGTCGTCTGTTTGGTTGCTGAGGAAATTTTGTCTGGTTTAACGTTTTTTCCCATCTCAAACTGGTGATTTCGATTTGGTTGCCCCTCTCTCTTTAGCTCCATAGAACTTTCCACTCCACTCACTTTGTCTCAGCGACCAAACACGAGTGAAGTGATTTGGGAGAAGGCAGAATTCTTTATGTAAAGCTCTCGTACTCTGTTATTGAGCATTTGATGTGTGTGAAGAGACGTACTTTGAATTTCGACTTCAGAACTTGTTTATCTGATATAAAACTACTTGTAGCTCAATCATTTCTCATTTGAGAAGTGAATCAATTCAAACCTACTCTTAAGGTTTTCAATCTTTTTCAGCTTAGTTCATACGGCAGAGATTGCTCCCTGACCACCTGTTGGGTCAAATTTTGAGCTGTAATTCCTGAAAGTAACTTGAGGGGGGGCTGTTTTGGGGGAGAGTCTTATAAAGGTTAAACGGGCAAATCACGCAGCCTGAAACATGTTTAGGTTGACGCCTTGAAGGTGAAGAGTAGTGTAAAAAAAGCAAAACTTTAGCTACTTTCTTGGATTTTACTTCCAGTGGAATATCTATCTTTTTCTATGTCCTTTGTTTGGGTCAACTGCCCTTTTCTCTGTTAATCTCTGAAACATGACTCTGTTGACCTTAAAGTTTACAACTTGAACTTGTGGTTATACTAACTCCTCTCATAAGATTATTTATATTTCATAGGCTGCATAAACATGAGCTGATGGAAATAGCTTAGTTTGCTGTAGGTAGCAGGTTATGGCATGATTATGGGTGTTCTAATATAGTGCAAGTTCTGATTGTGTGATACGCCGATACGCTGTTCTTTCTACTTGTTGATTTCTTCCCTACTGTAGCTATGAGCTTGATAGTGGGAACTATTTTCTTCCTTTTGGTATACCGAATGCGCTGCGACTAAAAGTAGGCATATTTGTATCAAGCATCTTAAACCAGAGGAAAACTGAGAAGTGTTTGTGTGTGTAAAGTATTTTAGCAAAAATCGGCTGTGCCACAAGATTGAGGGAGATGTTTCACTGATTATCAATCTGGTTCTCTGTTTCACAAGAACAGAGTTTCATTCTGTTATTACAAAGCAAGCTGTGGCACTGTTATCATTGCTGTCTTTCTCTACTCAGGTCTTTGTAACCTTTTTCTTTTGTCGGAGAAGATGGTTGCCTTTGGGAAAAGCTAAAGGAAAGGCAAATTCAAGAATGGCAAGGGTACGTTGCAGTCACATACTGTCACATTAATGCAGTTGTTTTGGTTGCAATGAACTTAACGAGAAATTATATACCAGAAATTTCTCGTTCTAGTGTAAAAAATGAAGGAGTCGTCTCTTTCTTTTGATGACTTTGATATCTGTAGTCACTCTCTTTTATGGAAACAGTTTGCAAGAGCGATGGTATAATTCTGTTATGTCCTTAAAATTTTTGTCATCTATTTATTGAACTTGTAAGGTTTCCAATTTATTTCTCATTGAAATTCACAAGGAAGTACCATTTACTTTGTCTTTACAGTTTCCTTATGGTATTTGTTTTTTCCTGTTCAGATACTATATCAACTACAAATTGATGAAAAGAGAGTGAAACAATATGGCCACCAAATTGAAGTTGGAACACTAGATCGGCGCCATGTTCTCAAGGACTTCTCGAGAATGCTTGATTGTCAGGTACTTATTAATGCATGAGAGTCTGATTATGCTTTTTGTAATTGGCTATCTCTAGAAAATTTAGATCACGTATTCACTGATCTACCAATTACTTCAGATTGAAAAGATAGTCCTGTTTCTGTTGGAGCAACAAGGGCTACTTGCAGGAAGGATAGCCAAGCTTAACGAAGATCAGGATGCTCTACAACAAGAGCCAGATATAGCGAAGCTATCCCAGTTGCGGGAAAATTATAGGGATGTCGGGGAGGGACCTTTTGAAGCTTCTTTTCTTTGTTGAAATAAATGCTGTGGGCCTGCGTAAGATCCTGAAGAAGTTTGATAAACGTTTCGGTTATCGATTCACCGATTACTATGTGAAGACTCGAGCTAATCATCCTTATTCCCAGCTTCAGCAAGTGTTCAAGCATGTGGTAAAATGCCACTCATACGCATTATCATATGATTCTGCCAGAGATTGATTACAGATCCCAAAGTGGGACTGTCCTTCCCATCCAAGTCTTGTTTAACTTATTACTGGAAGTGCAGGGTCTTGGGGCAGTTGTTGGAGCCATATCCCGCAATCTTCATGAACTTCAGGAGCATCAAGGAAGTTTCTTATCCATTTATGATCAATCTGTGCTTCCGCTTGAGGTTATTGTTTGCTCCTTTCTGTTTAAGTTTTGAGTTTGTGATATCAAGTTGTGACAGCACTCATATGGCCAAAGACTGATAGTAAACATATCTCGTAACAGGACTCTGTTGTTTGATGCAATGAAAGCGGCAGTTGACCGGTTAAGCCACTCAACCAACTTCTTGAACTTCTTGGCACAACATGCACTTATTATGCAAGAGGAGCTTCCAACTCCCATTGAGGAGAGCATTGATGATAAGAGATACCATTTTATGTCTCTTATCCTGAATCTGGCAAACACATTCCTTTATATGATAAACACCTATATTATAGTACCCACAGCAGATGACTACTCCATGAGCCTTGGTGCACCGGCAACAGTTTGTGGTATTGTGATTGGATCAATGGCTGTTGCTCAAGTCTTCTCTTCAGTATACTTCAGTGCATGGTCCAATAGATCATACTTCAGGCCTCTTGTGTTCAGCAGCATCGCTCTTCTGATCGGAAATGTCATGTATGCAATGGCTTATGATTTCAAGTCAATCACAATACTTCTGTTAGGCCGGCTTTTCTGTGGGTAAGTAATTATTCAACTCCTGAATTAATATCTGCTTATTGTGTACCAAGAAAAAAAATCAGGTCTATTCTCCTACTGTTTTTTTTATTTTATTTTTGTAATTGTTAAACTATCAGTAAGTTAATATGGCTCAGAGGGCTCTGAAGCAAAAAGGTTGGCAACTGCAATATGATATTATGAAGTCACTTAAATCTCATTAGTGGACTGATGTTAGCGCGCCAACTGGTTCATTATTGCTTTGATGTTAAAGTAAATTACTCCTTGTACTGCAGGTTGGGTTCTGCTAGAGCTGTGAACCGGCGTTATATCAGTGATTGTGTTCCACTTAAGCTACGTATGCAAGCTTCAGCAGGTTTTGTTAGTGCAAGTGCTCTCGGGATGGCCTGTGGCCCGGCTCTTGCTGGCTTACTTCAAACGGAGTTTAAAATTTACAAGTTCACATTCAATCAGAACACTTTACCAGGCTGGGTTATGGCTGTGGGTTGGTTCTTTTATATGATATGGCTGTGCATCTCATTTAGAGAGCCTTTTCGCCCGACACAAGATACCAATGTAGCTCCACAAACCAGTGATGGTAAACTTCTCCCCATTCCATGTATTGCATACATAATGTCATGTTTGTTTCATCTCAATCAATAATAATCTACTGCCTGCCATTGCTTGGGTCTGTTATCTTGGTAGAAGGCCACTACTTGTTTTCTGCATCTCTTACAGATAAAAAGCTTATAACCAATGTTACACAACTCTGTAAGTTCAGATTGTGAGTCTAAATTATTAATTAAACATGGTGTACCTAGAAGCTTGTGTGAGGGAACTTCATGCTTAAAGAAACTTTGTGGAAGGATAAGTTATATGATATGATTTTCTATATATCCATAACTTGATAATTGAACTTGCTTTTTACAGTGAGTCTATTTGTCATAAGATATTCCATTTTAATTTAAATTTCAACTAATTCTAGTTCTTAAATTCTAGTCTATTGTTATATTAGATGGATTTTTAAATGAAAATGCAAAAGGAAAATGATGACAGTTATGCCTTTTACTACACCAGGCATAAATTCTGCCAAACCATTTGGTTTAGCTTCAGCTTAAGTAACTCATAAGTTGGTATAGATAGCCCCATATTTGGTTTAGCTTCAGCTTAAGTCACTCATAAGTGGGATAGACATCCCCATTATGCTTATACTCTGGTCCTTAGACTCTGCATGAGATTTACAGTTCAGTTGCTCAATCACCCGAATACTCGCTCTTCGATAATAATTTTGGTCTCGTGTTGAAAGCAGAACCAACGAGAATGATGCTCTTGAGAAAGGTCTTCAGCAGCCATTGCTACCAAGTACAGAAGCCAATCAAGATGATGAAGATTGTGGGAGTGATGATGAATCTGAGGGATCCAGAGGACCAGCTAACTCACTTCGCTCTGCTTATAGGCTATTGACACCTTCTGTAAAGGTAAGATGAAGATGTATCTCTATACTTTATGAAACGTACAAGTGTTTTTGAAAAACTTTATTTTTTACCATTTGATAACTCTCTTGCCTGAATTGCAAAAACAGGTTCAGTTGTTAATATATTTCATGCTCAAGTACGCCATGGAGATTTTATTATCAGAGTCTAGTGTCGTCACAACGTACTACTTCGGTTGGTCTACTAGCTCAGTGGCAATATTTCTCGCCTGCTTAGGCCTCACTGTCCTTCCAGTGAATATCATTGTTGGAAGCTATATCAGTAACATGTTTGAAGATAGGTATAAGCCCATTATCTCTTCTGTCTTCCGGGATTCAATTCTCTCTTGGTAGCAGCTCGAAATCATCATACTGATTACCATTTCTTCGTCGTTGATCTCATTGGCAGGCAAATCTTACTAGCATCAGAAATCATGGTCTGTGTAGGCATACTCCTAAGCTTCCACATCTTAGTTCCATACACCGTGCCACAATACGTGTGCTCAGGACTCATTATGTTTGTCTCGGCCGAAGTACTAGAAGGTAAAGTATTCTACTCCCTTGCAATGCGAATTCAGTACTGTCATTATGAATTGAGCTTACTTGGTAAACTTACTGCATACCTACTTCCAGGCGTCAACTTATCGTTGCTCTCGCGAGTCATGTCATCGAGGCTCTCACAGGGAACATACAACGGTGGACTACTCTCGACGGAGGCAGGTACCTTAGCTCGTGTGGTGGCAGATGTAACAATCACAATGGCGGGGTACTTGGGGCAGAAAACGCTGTTGAATGTGACTCTTCTACCTTCCCTTGTCATTTGCATAACCTCCATCCTCGCCACATGCTTCACCTACAACTCGCTATATTGATTCTGTAGACTTATATCTATCACATTAGTAAAGCGAAGCAGCCAAATTTTGGCGTTTCTTCGCTTATAGCTATGTGATTAGGTAGTCTTCTTCTCCTTCTTATTCTTCTGTGTCGGATCAGTTCTCCTGTATATTTGGTAGAAACCCAGCTCCATTAAATTCTCCATTGTTCTTAATAAAAATGTAGACGCACACCACACCAACTAGCTAGCCTAGCAGCATGTCCATTAAAGCGTCTGAGAACTGAGCCAGCTGCTTGCTGCCTCTAGCATAAGTAGATGGATTTATTTACTGTGAATTTGTTTTCTTCAGAATTCCTCAACAATCATATCCTTGCCCTTGGCCCCCAATGCTTCAATGCATATCATCTCCACTCCATGGTTACAAATAATTTGCGATTTTTTACTGCTCCTTCGCTGGTTCCCAGAGGTTCGTGTCATAATTTACCGCATGTGGATGGTCATAAATAACTAGATACGAAGCAAACAAGAAACGAGATCCGCACGCCGTAAATTTTGACACGAAACTAGAAAACCAACGATACCACTTTAAATTTGGAGACAAAGGGAGGTGCAGACTTGGTTATACCTTGACCAGTTTGATGAGGGGATTAGTATCTATTACTATGTCTCTTAGATAGGAAGAGTGTCCCTCTAAGCAATCCTAACACTCACCCATATATCCATCCACCTCCCTTTCTTTACAACTTCCAACCAATCTTCCCTTCAACTTAGGGACATGGGAAACGAGAACAAACCCATATAATCAACATGAACAAATTTTTAGGCTAGTTTGCTTCCTCTGCCTATTCTCCTCCTAATCATCTTGTTTGAAGTTTAGTCTCAAAAAGAAGAATGAAACGAAAGTTAACAACATTTATAAGTGTTTCACCCGTACCATACCGGTGGTTTGACCATAAAAATCTTATATCGGAGACTAAATCGATAGACGGTTTTAACAGGATGAAACGATCGAACCACGGTTTCCAGTATAAAATACCCTATTGCTGACTTTTTCTCCTACAACCTCCTGCATGATTTCGCAATGCATATCTACAAACAAATTTTTGTTTTGGGACCCATTTCCCCAATCATTTTTAAGCAAGGTTGTCAACCCGCTGGCTGACCTGGACCCGGTCGAGCTAGTGGGTCCAGGGTTAATGGGTCAACCGTTTTAGCCCGGTTTGGCCCGAAAATATGAAAAGAGTCATTATATTGTACTTATCCTGATAAATTATATCAAATCTTATCTAACATATGAGTTATAATATATAATATGACACCAAAATAACATATCGTACTTAGATCCAACATATAGTGAAAATTCACACACACTTATATAACATCAATATTCAAATGTTCAACTTACGATTCCAAAGATTGAGTTAGGCGAAAACAAAAATAGAAAAATAGGCGCATTTCGCAAACTAAAGAAAAAATGACATAATTTGACCTCAAACCCGATACCTTGTAGCAGTCGACCCGACTGGTGCGTGCGGCCCATTTTTCTCACCGGGTCAGGGTCAAAATCGGTCGACCCACGGGTTGACAACCTTGTTGATATAGTTCAAGTCTGCCCATCTGGTTTTCCAATTTCGCTCCCTCTTTCCTGCCCAAAACTCAATGAAGTTCAAAGCAAAAACACCACATGAAATATAGTCGTTTTGTCTGAATCCAAGATCGAAATTCCAAGGGAACTCTTCAAAGTTGTATATCCTGTTAACCTCCCACCCAACGAAAGCCTGGACATATTTCACCAACTCCCTTCCTATGGTCTGATAGCGTGAATCATCCCAATCATGTCGCAGACTATTCATGAATTGAAACTCCTTGTGCAGTAAATCAATGCAGTACACGACATAGTGATTGCCAACACAGAGGGGAAAGAACCACTGCACGACAAGTGAATACATAACATGTTAATAATATTCATTCATTTGTTAATAACAAGCGTGGTATATATTAAAAATCAAAGTTACTAATAGCTATTAATAATCTCATCTTTTGTACGTTGTTACTAATAACTATTAATAATGGCGATTAATTTGTTAATAATGGCGGATAACTTGTTAATAATAGTCGAAAACCATATTAATAACTGTTGATGCCACAATACTCTCTCTCTTCCACGTGCCTCCACCACGATTCCACGCCGAGCGCTTGAACCCTGCAGGACGGGCGCCTAGAGGGCTAGACCCGTCCGTTAGCACTTGACACGCTAAAACACAACACCTAACAATGGCCAAGTGTAACCAATGAAAGGGACTGCAGTATAGGCAAGTTTAATTATCAACCCGGGGTCTAGATCTACTGCTTACTCCGTGATTCTCTATTATCTAGCAAACTAAGTCGAGTGATTGTTGTGAAAAGTAAAAGCAACAAGAAAGCAGTAAATTGTTCGGGTTTCTAAAGCAGGCAAGAGTCACTCGGGATTGAGTCCCCCTAGCCCCTTAGTTAGGTTCAATTGCAATTCCCTGGGTTGATTTACTGTTGATTAGACTGCGGAAGATCCGACAGTAGCTTGGAATCTCTTAAGCTGACCAAGCCCTCTCAGTCTAACTACCCGGCAGACGACTAGTCTTCACCGGGATAGAAAGCTGAGGCTATGAACACAGAACTTCACTACTGGCGCCATGAACACCAGTACAAAGCAGTAAACTGGCTAACTCTCGTATAGCCAATCCCTACTATCGAATGAAGAGGCTCTAACAACCTAATCAGATTCTATCTATCTCAGGTTGCAGCAGAAATTGAGAAAAGCTGATCAGACTCAAATCAATTCAATAAACATGCATCATTCGATTAAAATCAAACAGTAATATCATCCCAAGTCATTACAATCAAATCCCTAACACAAGGAACTAGGGTTCTTCATACCCAAGTGAGAGAAGGGTTCTACTCCATAGAGAGAGAAGAGAAAACAAGAATCGGATTAGTCATACTCATAACGATGAGGATAATCTGCTCCGGGACGATGATTTTCACTCCTATGACGATCTCCAAGCTCGATTCGATGAAATCCAGCTCTAAGACAGCTTCTAGGATGTGTTCTTCGCACTTTCTCTCTCTAGGGCTCTGTTTTTGCTCTGAAAACACGATTCTCCCACTTTTGGCTCGAATTAGGCTTTAAAACCGGTTTCCCCGAGTTGCACGGCCAGGTGCACGGCCGTGCACAACACCATTCTGGCCGTGCACCCTGAAACGCGCCGTTTCATTTAGTTCGAACTCAGACATCTTGCACGGCCAGGTGCACGGCCGTGCAAGCTTCAGGGCCTGCCCGTGCATGGCCTCGGCATGAGGCGCACGGCCATATGGCTCAAGTGCACGGCCGTGCAGCCTCCCTGGTCTGCCCGTGCACTCCCCAAACAGCTCGCCATTCGTCCGTTCTTCGTCCAATCGACCCCAGACTCGCTCCTAAGCCTTCATTCACGTACTAGGACCTGAAATATCACAAACAAGCACAACCTAGCGTGAAATCGGCCTAAAACACGAGAATCAAAACCTCAAACGGTGTAAGAACGGGGGTAAAAACATGTGTAAATGACGGTCTATCAAACTCCCCCACACTTAACCGTTTGCTTGTCCCCAAGCAAACCAAGTCAGACACTAGGTAAGCTTACAAATTTCAATCAACCAACATTGGGGACAAGTCATAAAGGCACAGAACACGTGAATCGCACTGGTTTTCAAACATTAATACATGCACAACCTCAATAACAACCTGGACAACCACCACAAAGGACATTCGAGTGCAGCAAATCGAGTAAAGGAAGAGTCTCCCGTCTGTTCACTGGCCAACCTAGACTTGATTCAACCACTTACTCAAAACAGTCAACTCATGCATCCAACTCAAGACATCAGAATAGAGACCGAGCAATCTAGGTCCTCACCGGGGTACAAGAGCATATAGAAAATGGAAATGAATCACTCACTCTCGACCAGTGGGGCCAGGACAATTCGATGCGAAAGATGCGCATGCTATTTCTCTCAATACCTATCATCTCTTCACCATGATGGCAGCCTCTAAATGCTAGAGTTCACATATGGGGTGTCACCACTAACTAATCAGGAGGTCTTAGACACAGGTTCAAATGACTGGCTAGGGTCTTGGACATGGGGAAAAGGCCTTTTAGGTGGTGGAAGTATTCATAGCAAAAGGTTCCACATTTTCCAAACACACAAACACAGTCAAACAACCCGGTATTTTCTTTCTGCTATTCTGCATTACTCAATATCTTAAGATCACAAGAGCGAAGGAGGCATAAACATCAGCATTTCCAAGCCAGACTGCTAAGAAACACTACTTACTGGGCATTATTCAGATTTTTAGTAGTGGCTCTCTTTTGCTTTCAATTTTTTTCTTTGTTTTTCTTTCATTTTTCTTTTCATTCCTAAAGAGAGCCACCACTTCTGCATAAATTTCAAACACTTGCCCAACTTTTAAGCACTACCTCCAACACTCACATAGACTTAAGCAGAAACAACAGAGAATATATAAAAACCACTCTGTGGAACCTTCTAAAAGATGCAACAAGGGTGATTTTTTCCATTATAGACCAAAAGAAAGGATAACACACGGCTCAAAGGGGCTGACTAGGGATATGACACATCAGGACAGTCAGTTTTGGGCGTGGGCTAATCCTATGCCCCCATCATCTTAGCTAGTGACAACGTGAATGCTACACATCATGGAAGAGGGATCTATCGCACAAGAAAGAAACGAGCAGGCTCAAATCTCACATGGCTACCTATATGCTCTATCTCACATTCTGATACCCTGAACTAGATGCATAAATGACTGTCAAGAACAAGTAATCAGATCAAGTCAGATCAAGTCACAGTTGGCAAGCAAACAGTTGAAAAACTGAACCCCTACATCGTTCTACTGCACATCTCAGTCCTCATCATAGGTTGTCCTAGTCGCAAACAAGTTGTCATGCATTAATCCGAAAACCAATCAATTCACCCATCAAAACACAGTGCCAATATGATCAAACAGCAGTACTTGGAGCCCTCAAATCGTAAGATTCGGACAGCGGACTAGGCTCCAAGCACCATCATACATATTCCAACCGATACAAAGCATCCCCCCACACTTAAGCACGACATTGCCCTCAATGGAGGAGAGGGAAAGATAAGGGGAACGATGTTACCGGGTAAGAACACTGCTGGGGGACTGGAAGTGGACCAGTCAGCGAGAAAACGAACGGGAGAGTGGACAATGCTGCACAAATCGAACATCAGAAACACTAGCACACTGGCGTTAGGGATAAGTGTTAGCCCAGACGGCTACATCAAACCACAAATGAAAAACCAAAAACAAAAACAACCGACACGAAGTTCAA